GTGTAAGAATCTACCTCGACACGTCGCTTAACGCAATAAACAAGAAGTTGTCATCCATAAAGTTGTATGTTTCATTTTTGACTCACTACTTCTAGAATGCCCATCAAATGACTGATTGATTCTAATGCACAACAAAATATGTAGAAATTGCTTGATTGATTGATTGATTGATTCCAATGCGCACCACAATGTGAAGAAAATGAGGAAAGGGTAGAAGAACTGTCCTTTGCCGGGATGGTTCTTCAAGGTGAAGAAAATAGAATACAGGAACCAGCCCCATCCAATCAGACGCATAGCAACCAGACCGTATCCAGGGGGGCTCTCGTAGATGTACAACACCAGGCCGGGGTCAAAGAACTGGAACAACAAGAATTGAAACATGAAATTAAATCATTTTTTAAATATTATAATATTTCTCCTGAATCTGTTCAATTGGCAGTGAATGGGTACCTGTTAATGTGAATATTAACATTCGGGCGTTTCACAGACAGCATGGGTGGAATATTCCATACTGAGAAAGAATATTGAGTGCTTCCTGATCTGTTGGCAGGGTGAAGACAATGAGCCTTGAGCATGCTTCAGGTTGTGGATTTGGGACATTATAAATATCCACATTTTTCAAAAGCATAATATTTGTTGGTAACATTATAATAATAAAATCATAAAAAAATGTAAAAACAGAAGAGTTCGGATAAAAATGACAATAAGAGTGAGTGAGTATGGTTTTACGCCGCTTTTAGCAATATTCCAGCAATATCACGGTGGGGGACACCAGAAATGGGCTTCACACTTTGTACCCATGTGGGGATTCGAACCCGGGTCTTCGGCGTGAAGAGCTGAAGCTTTAACCACTAGGCCCACATGGGTACAATGTGTGAAGCCCATTTCTGGTGTCCCCCGTCGTAATATTGCTGGAATATTGCTAAAAGTGACGTAAAACTAAACTCACTCACTCACTTTAACCACTAGTGACAATAAGAACAATACAGATGCTAGAACAAAGACAACATTGGAATATAAACAAATAAATAAATACAATGTGACTGAGTGAGTTTGGTTTTACGCCGCTTTTAGCAATATTCCAGCAACATCACGGCGGGGGACACCAGAAATGGGCTTCACACATTTTACCCATGTGGGGATTTGAACCCGGGTCTTCGGCGTGATGAGCCAACGCTTTAACCACTAGGCTACCCCACCGCCCCAAATACAATGTGAACATGAACAATATTGGGATAGAAAGAAACTGTTGCAAGAAAAATTCTCAATGTTCTTCCAACACCAGTAGTATGTGTTTGTTGTTTACCACCGTGATTAGCAAATACTCTAGCTACAAAATAATAATTCTAGCTGTAAATAATCGAGTCTGGACCTGGCAATCCAGTGATCAACAGCATGAGCATCGATCAATGCAACTGGGATACGATGACATGTCAACCAAGTCAGTGAGCCTGACCACCTGATCCCGTTAGTCGCCTCTTACAACAAGCATGGGTTGCTGAAGACCAATTCTAACCCGCATCTTCATGGGTCCAACTTGTATAGTTCTCACAGCTGTTCTCTATTTCCCATTTAAATAACCTAATCTCTCCATCATATAATCTTTAAAAATATATAATATTTAGCAAACAAAACAAATCCAGAACACCTACATTAGCTTCCCAGATGAGGAGGACGGCGTACACGACGGCGTAGATGCAGACAAAGACGGTGAGCTTGATGGTTCCGGACGTGCTGAGTCTACCGCGGGTGATGGTGAACCCCTTGGCCATCAGGATGAGCATCAGCAGGTAGACAATGTCGCTGACCGACGAGAACACGCGAGCTGTGGAAACATGCATGTCTTATATTGATGGCAGAGATGACAAGTGGAGACATGGTAATATACTGAAGGAAAGAAGTAAGGTAACATCACTTCATTGCAGTGTTCCTTTATCGGTTTCCAGATGTTCACAGAGGGCAATACAAAACTTGTGAAGAAACCTGGAAAACAATACTGGAACACTTATACTTTCATGTGTTCAATTATTTCATTCCCTCAGTATAGTTCAAACCTATCTTTCCGTAATATCATGTTTGTTTGTTTGTTTGTTTGTTGTTTAACAGTGCACTCAGCCATATTCCAGCTATATGGCAGTGGTCTGTAAATAATCGAGTCTGGACCAGGCTATCCAGCGAGTTTGTTTTAAGCCGCACTCAACCATATTCCAGCTATATGGCAGTGGTCTGTAAATAATCGAGTCTGGACCAGGCTATCCAGCGAGTTTGTTTTAAGCCGCACTCAACCATATTCCAGCAATATGGCAGTGGTCTGTAAATAATCGAGTCTGGACCAGACAATCCAGCGAGTGTGTTTTACGCCACACTCAACAATATTCCAGCAATATGGCAGTGGTCAGTAAATAATTGAATCTGGACCAGACAATCCAGGGATCAACAGTATGAACATCAAATGTACACAATTGGGATACGAGGACATGTCTCAACCAAGTCAGCTAGTCTGACCATCTGATCCTGTTAGTCGCCCTTACGACCAATTCTAACCCGGATCTTCACGGGTACTCAAAAAATCATGCTTTATGGTTTGAAATGTAGAAAGTCTAACAATGACAAGTCCTGCCATGAACACAGGATGAAATATTCTTCTAAAGCTCACCTGTCACCTTGGTACCTCTCTCTTCCCGGCCAGTGTCGGAATACTTCCCGTAGGCAATACACATCAGGAACAGATGAAACAGCCACAGCGCCACCGCCACCATGTACATCTTGTAGGTCGTGTGGAAGAGCTGGCGGTTCCGCAGTACCGCTGTCAATATACCGATAGTAGTGTTGGGAATTGGTTGAAATCTCATAATTGATGATTGCTTCATTACCAACAAACAATCATCGATAAAAATTGGTTAGCGTCAATTTTCAGATTTTCCTATCCAGGTTGTTATTGCAGATATGTATAACATGATGCACCTTGCTACTTTAAAGTGATGTTGATATATCATGAACATAAACCTTCTGGGGTTTTCAAGAAATATTCAGTCATGACTTTTCAGTTAGTGAAGTGAGTTTTCTAAGAAATAAACAAGTTTTCAGGCCCTGACAACTTCGAAGATATGTTCCATCGTAAAGTGTTTCAAAGACTAAAACAGCAGTTCCAAAATCGTTTGTGTTCGATTATAAGAAAATGTGATCGATTGCTTGGTCGTTTGGTCACTTCGACCAATCTTCGATTATTTCAATTAATCGGAACACCATTAACCGGTAGTCAACATCGAGTGAATGAGTGAGTGAGTGAGTGAGTGGGTGGGTGAGTGAGTGAGTTGGATTTTACTGCTGCTTTTACCAATGTTTCATCAGAATGTGGTAGGGGACACCAAAAAAGCGCTTCACATATTGTCATTCAAACAAATGGACACTTAATCCACCATGCCACCCAATTTCCCCCACGCTCTGAAAGAAGGACTGAGCTAATTGGGCATTTATCACTTTAACATGGATTTATCACTGACTGACTGACTGAGTTGAGTTTTACGCCGCTTTTAGCAATATTCCAGCAATATCACGGAGGGGGACACCAGAAATGGGCTTAACACATTGTGCCCATGTGGGGAATTGAACCCGGGTCCTCGGCGTGACGAGCCAACGCTTTAACCACTAGGCTACCCCACCGGCCCCATGGATTTATCAGTATTAGAAAGAAACACAAGTGAGTGAGTGAGTGACTATGGTTTTATGCCACTTTTATCAACACTCTAGTAATACCATGACCTGGCTAGCTATTCTCGAAACTTCGTAAGCCCTGCAAACTTCTTAAGCCCATTCTTAACACATTGGCTACGATCAAAGTTAAGAATTCTTAGGGCTACGAACGTTTCGAGAATAAGGGCCCTGGGCACCAGAAAACAGATTGCACCCATGTAGGGAATCCAACCTATGTGTTGCGGGGCGAGGGAACACTTTAACCACTAGGCTACCCTACCAGCCCAGGAAACACAAGACACCTGCCTTACCTGCACACACAACGGACACAAACAGCAGACTGACGTACGCTATGAGGAATGCAATGTTGATTGGCAGAATATCTGGAACATATCATCATCATTATTCAAAATAATAAATCAATCAATCAACACAATCAATCAACACAATCAATTACCATTCAACAATCAACACAATCAATTACCATTCAACAATCAACATAATCAATTACCATTCAACAATCAACATAATCAATTACCATTCAACAATCAACACAATCAATTACCATTCAACAATCAACATAATCAATTACCATTCAACAATCAACATAATCAATTACCATTCAACAATCAACATAATCAATTACCATTCAACAATCAACACAATCAATTACCATTCAACAATCAACATAATCAATTACCATTCAACAATCAACACAATCAATTACCATTCAACAATCAACATAATCAATTACCATTCAACAATCAACACAATCAATCACCATTCAACAATCAACATAATCAATCACCATTCAACAATCAACACAATCAATTACCATTCAACAATCAACACAATCAATTACCATTCAACAATCAACACAATCAATTACCATTCAACAATCAACACAATCAATTACCATTCAACAATCAACACAATCAATTACCATTCAACAATCAACATAATCAATTACCATTCAACAATCAACATAATCAATTACCATTCAACAATCAACATAATCAATTACCATTCAACAATCAACACAATCAATAACCATTCAACAATCAACACAATCAATTACCATTCAACAATCAACATAATCAATTACCATTCAACAATCAACACAATCAATCACCATTCAACAATCAACACAATCAATTACCATTCAACAATCAACACAATCAATTACCATTCAACAATCAACATAATCAATTACCATTCAACAATCAACATAATCAATTACCATTCAACAATCAACACAATCAATTACCATTCAACAATCAACATAATCAATTACCATTCAACAATCAACACAATCAATTACCATTCAACAATCACCATAACATTCATCAATCACCATTCAAACAATCAACATAATCAATTACCATTCAACAATCAACACAATCAATTACCATTCAACAATCAACACAATCAATTTCCATTCAACAATCAACATAATCAATTACCATTCAACAATCAACATAATAAATTTCCATTCAACAATCAACATAATCAAATCAACATATTACCATTCAACACAATCAATTACCATTCAACAATCAACATAATCAATCAACATAATGAATCACCAATCAACATTATCAATCATCATCAATCAATCAGTCAATCGATAAACACAATCAACCACTCAATCATAAATTAACATCATCAATCTCCAAAATATAAACTATCTAAACAATAAAACTTTGGTATCTCAAACCATGAGAACCACCAAACTGTCAGCTTTGTCTTGAAACAAACATCTACATATAGAGATCTCCAAGTATGTAGTGGCCTGGGTTTGACCCTCTTACAGTTCTCTGGGCAGACGCTCTGAAGACTGTACACAAACAGTTAACATCCATGTGTGCAGTCCCAAAGTGTGACCCGGCCAGGGATCAAACATCCAACCTCCAGCCCTCTAGGCAGACACATTATCTGCTGGACCATGGAGGATATGAAACATATACAATCAGGGGTGGACTGGTGCCAATTACTTACAGAACTCATCAGCAGAAAACTCATACTTGAGCGTGTCGTCGGGTTCTCCATTCGTCATGTGCATGGCGTACTCCAGCTTCAGACCCGCCACCTACAACCCAACATGCATCTGTCACTGAGGGCAGTCAAAGGGTATACAGTTCAGTACAAATTAATCGTAAACAATTAATGTAAAGTAGTGTCCATAATCAATACTTAAAAAATAAGTGAGTTTAGTTTTTCGCTGCTTTAAGCAAAATTTTAACAATATCACGGCAGGGCACACCAGAAATGGGCTTCACACATTGTACCCATATGGGGAATCGAACCCGGGTCTTCAGCGTGACGAGTGAACGCTTTACCCACTAGGCTACCCCACCGGCCCCAAAGACATATAAACAAACAAACTCAGTACTTTGCCATAATCATGCTAAAATATCATTAACTAGTATCTACCTAAATATAATGATACAACATAACCATATTTACAAAGCACAAATTTCAGTAATAAAGAAAACAGAAGACAGACTGATGATCCACATTCGCATATAGATGAATTCACATTTTAGACTCAACCAGACAGTTTGTTCGTTATTCATGTGTTATACTGGCTACACCCTTAAAAATCTCCAGGGAATATGTTCCGATATATCCCACTCCACTCAGAACGTACTACCTGGAGAGCTACACCCTTAAAAATCTCCAGGGAATATGTTCCGATATATCCCACTCCACTCAGAACGTACTCCCTGGAGATTATCAAGGCTGTACTGGCTATTGGTTCAAGAAACAATGGATGCCTATCTGACATGCAGTGGATTCCAGTTATTTACATTGTAAAGTTTCTGAACATTGTATAAGAGAAAAACATGGACAGGCGGACAAATAAACAGACAGACAAAAAGCCATCTTAAACACATATGACAAATTACTATGGGCACGTGAAAATATGAGGTGAGGTGAGGTGAAATTGGGTTTAGAATATTTTGCTCATATGACGACGTGCATGCGTGTGTATGTGTATATGCGGCTGCTTGTACTAGCCCAGACTTTGGCTGGTTTTATAGTGCTAGCCCACTGAGATACCATGCCGCAGTTAAGCATGAATACCCCACTCAGACACATTATACTGACTCTGAGCCGACCAGTCCTTGTTGTACCCATTAATGCCGAGCGTCAGGCAGGGACCAACAAGTACCACATTTTAACGTCTTTTGGTATGACGCGGTCGGGGATCGAACCCGTGATCTTCCGCTCTCCGGGCGGACGCTCTAACCACTACACCACGGAGGCGGTTATGAAACAGGTCTACCTATTGCAAATAGAAAACATACAAATTGAACATTTTAGGGACTGATCATTAATTGATGGAAGGATGACTGTGAGTGAGTTTAGTTTTACGCCGCACTCAGCAATATACCAACTATATGGCGGCAGTCTGTAAATAATCGAGTCTGGACCAGACAATCCAGTGATCAACAGCATGAACATCGATCTACGAATTGGGATACGGTGACATGTGTCAACCAAGTCAGCTAGCCTGACCACCCGATCCGTTAATAAGCGCTCTTTCGACAAGCATGGGTTACGAAGGTTCATTCTAATCCGGACCTTCACGGGTTGGATGAGTGCGAGAAAAAGGAACTGAAATGAGTGTACATTTGATTCTCAAATAACCTGTCAGTTATGCCCGGATTGCAAAATCTGCGTAATCAGAACTAGCGGCTGAAATCTATTCATACTGTATGCATCTTCAGCCAATCGATATCTCCTGTCAATAAGTTTGAACATATCAGCACAATCAGTCAGATCAGAGTAAACACTACATGCACTCTCATGACACACTAGTCCGGGAGCACGATCCATAAAGCGTTCATAGCACTACCACATTCTTAAGCTCATGATAAACTGTATTGTTATTAGGGGAGGATATCGAGGGGGAAAAAACTATTGTGATAGTGATAGTCTATTGCAACATACTATTGCGATCAACTATTGCAATAGCATTTTTCTCCTTGGATTGTCTCATTTGAAGTCATTTCCCAAATGAATGTATAGTTAATATAAAATAAAAACAAGCTGAAGTAGTTTCAGTCTCTTTTGATAACTGACAAGAAACCTAAAACCCAGATCAAGTGAACAGTAAAAACATAAACTCAATGAAGCTGCAAGTCTGCACCAAAGCAATCCGTTAATTCTCGTATTTTGCGCTGCGCATTTATCAACGGCAGTCAATTACTAAAGTATCGATAGTCACACACACATCGATTATTTGCTACTGGAGACTCAACAATTGCAATCTATTGATAGTTCGTTACAGCACTACTAATCATTTGTACAGGGTTTTAAGTGATGCACAAGTGTAGAGAATGAACGCAGAAATCAATTCACTGTGTCCAGAGGGACGCACAATATCATTCACTGTACCCACAACACATGTGTGACTCGGCTAAGTGTTTGGTTGTTTCTTTCAGAGCAGTTACGTGCATCATTTCGTCCACATGATCAATGATTCATTTCAGGCTGTAAGGAAATTATCAAAACATACACCGTTACTTCACATGACCCTCATATTGCCAGCAGGTCCCGCGAGGTAAAACCCTGCTTTGTATGTGGTAGTTGTACGCACATGGAATGGGGTAAAATAAGCAAGCCATTTTAATTCACACATTTTTACCGATGTTACTGTAAACTAGCAGTCCATGGAAAACGAGGCGGTAATCAGTTCGTGATTGTTGAATAGGGTAAAATAAGCAAGCCAGTTTGTTGACATGTGATCGTCCAACTACTATAAGTATGATATTTAGCGAAACAAAATATATTATCCATTTTCAGTCAACTACATTTCATTTTGATATGTGAGTAGATGCAATATGATTGTGAATTCTTTGAATAATGTGGACCAAAGTTATAATTATTGGTAACTGCCAGTTGACTGTGGTCTGTGTTTGCCAGGATTAGGACCCCATCGCAGAGGATTGGCTTATGTACGAACCATACCATTTTGACACTGATTTTAAGGGTCAAGTTTTGGGGTTGGCTTATAGACGGTAATATACGGTATATCAAATCTTTGGACAGCGGGTGACTCTCAGCTGCAGGTGTCTGACGGTCCCACTGAAACACAACACTTGTTCCACTGGGAGACTTTCAGCAAGTCCCCCAATTGCGCAGATCGATGCTCATGCTGTTGATCACTGGATTGTCTGGTCCAGACTCGATTATTTACTGACCGCCGCCATATAGCTGGAATATTGCTGAGTGCGGCGTAAAACTAAACTCACTCACTTTATTGAGTCCCATCTGGGATTCGAACCCACACTTTCAGAGCCAGGCACCTAATAACCAGCACACAAAGTCAGCCATCTAACCCACTCAGCCACCACTCGGGGCTTCGGGGACTGTGAAACAGATTGACTCACTCACTGAACAGGTTTTACCATATTTGTTTTCCTGAAAGTAACCCTGGCAACTCTTATATTTGTTCATTATTTTATGCTTCTGTCTCTTGTATTCAGGAAATCATTCATTAAAGAAATCAATGAAATGGAACTGTCAGAGCTACAGATAACATTTTGGGTCATTGAGTTATGTACTCGCTTCTGTTCATCTCAATTGGGTATCCGAATTTTCCTTTGAGTAACCAAATAAGTTGTACCCACCTCACTCAGGTTCAATTGGGTATTTTGCCATTTTCCATTAATTTTAAAAATATAATAAAGTTTAAATGTTAGTGTTCGTTATTTATATTTGATCTATAATAAGAGAAACGCTAAGAAAGGCTGCAAGTTGTCAAGTTCATGTCCTGAAATAGAACCTCTCAATATATCTCTGTTATATTATCTGTCCACACGTACACAAGCTAAGATTTGACATTTTTGTGTGTACGCTTGTAAGATCGCATTTATTGAGTATTTACAAAAATTCAAGCGTACTTGTACGCAACAGACTTAATAAGAATTGAGTTTTCACATAAATATTTGCGTAATTTACGCAGATACGCAGCTTATCTGTACCTCTGAACTGTTGAAACAAGCTTAGGGCAAGACTACAACATTGATATTCAAACACAAGAATTTTGATGCCCAAACAGACTAGTCGCCATTGTTTGGATATAATCAATGGAGATTTTGTACCAGACGTTCACATAATGAAAGAAACTATCGACCAGGGTTATATGTTTACCAAGACATCTATTTATGACATCATCGCCAGAAGCGAGTGTGGACAGGTCTTTTGTCCAATAAACAATGAGAGTGTACAGGTAAGATGGATTTCTTGTGTAGCTACACAAGCACAGACGTCTGTATCCAGGAGACAGAGGATGGATGGAATGTTTGATAGCGTCCACCTCGGGCTATTCAGTCAAGGAGACCAGTTGATGTTGGTTCCAGTAGGTTCTCTCTTTGTTCTTTCACCATCTTTGGTTGTCATAGCAGAGATGACATTTGATGTCATGTAGTTCCAAAGAATCAAAGACAAAAGGAAGGAAGGGTAGACAGAAACAAACGAGAGAGAGAGAAAGAAAGAGAAAGAAAAAAAAAGAGACAGAGAGAGACAAAGAGAGAGAGAGAGAGAAGAGAGATAGAGAGAGAGACAGAGAGAGAAAGAGAAAGGAGAGACAGAGAGAGAGAGAGACAGAGAGAGAGAGAGAGAGAGAGAGAGAGAGAGAGAGAGAGAGAGAGAGAGAGAGAGAGAGAGAGAGAGAGAGAGAGAGAGAGAGAGAGAGAGAGAGAAAGAGAGAGAAAGAGAGAGAGAGAGAGATATTCCAACTGTTCTGTTTTAGTTTGATTTCTAATGAACCCATAGACTCATGAAATTGAAAATGGTTAACAAATAAAATTTAAAGAAACACGAAAACGGAAACACTTACATATCCGGTACATCATAGATCCAGACGGTTGGCTTCAAAGTATTACACATTCTCAAGGAAATATATATCATGTACAAAAAAAGAAAAGTTAACACTCCAAATCTTTGATACTAAAATATTCTAGTTTGAATGGTATCGTCTTATTTTTAGAATTTTATTTAAATCATTGGAAAAACATTGATGACTGATGTCTTTTATGTCTACATTTTTAAAATATTTTCTTCATGTATTTATTTATA